TCTCTTAACCTCTTGATCTGCCCACCTCGGCCTCCCAAAGTGCTGGGATTATAGGCTTGAGCCACTGCACCTGGACAAGGTTGTTTTTTGTTGTTTTGTTTTGTTTTGTTTTGAGACAGAGTCTTGCTGTGTCATCCAGGCTGGAGTGCGGTGGCATGATCTCAGCTCACTGCCATCTCTGCCTCCCAGGTTCAAGCGATTCTCCTGCCTCAGCCTACCGAGTAGCTGGGACAATAGGCGCGTGCAACTACACCCAGCTAATTTTTGTATTTTTTTAGTAGAGACTGGGTTTCACCATGTTGGCCAGGCTGGTCTTGAACTCCTGACCTCAGGTGATCCGCCCACCTCGGCCTCCTAAAGTGCTGGGATTATAGGCGTGAGCCACCAAGCCCAGCTGTCTTTAGGTTTTTCTAAATATAAGATTATATCATCTGCAAACAAAGATAATTTGACCTCTCTTTTTCCAGTTTGGATACCCTTTATTTTTTTCTATTGTCTAAGAGGTTTAGCTAGGACTAACAATAATATGTTGAAGAATAGTGGTGAAAGTGGACATCCTTGTTGTGTTCCAGATCTTGGAGCAAAGGCTTTCGGTTTTTCCCCATTCAGTATGATACCAGCTGTGGGTCTGTTGTACATGGCTTTCACCATGTTGAGGTGTGTTTCTTCCATATCCACTTTCTTGAGAATTTTTATCATGAAAGGATGTTAAATTTTATCAAATGCTTTTCTGGCTCAATTGAAGTGATCATATAGTTTTTGTCCTTTATTCTGTTGATAAGATGTATCACACTGATTGATTTGCATAAGCAACAACCCACTTTAGATGGTGTAGGAGTGCTCCAGTTCCACAGTCGCCCCTCCGGGACTGTTCCACACATTTATATTTCTTGCCTGGACCCATCAGCATTTGAGTTTGAGGGCCCTGTCTAAGGTGTTTAGATTTTTGAAAAACAAAAGCCAGCAAGGCTTGTAGACGAATGCTGCATGAATCGGAAGAAAGGAAAGCAAAGCGGGGAAGAAAAGCCCAAGTTAATATTTCAACATGTTTCTGGGTGTAGAGCAAAAGGTGAGGAGGATTGGATAAGTGGACCCACAACTGTATTTTCTCAACCAGGATTGACCCAGGAGGCTTCAGTGGACCTCAAGAACACTGGCAGGAACGAATTCCTCACAGCCTTCCTGCAGAACTATCAGCTGGCCTACAGCAAGGCCTACCCCCGCCTCCTTATCTCCAGTCTGTCAGAGAGCCCTGCTTCTGTCTTCATCCTCAGCCAGGCAGACAAAACCTCACACAACGTCACAGTGAGGCCCGGGGAGTCAGTCATGGTCAACATTAGTGCCAAGGCTGAGATGATAGGCAGCAAGATCTTCCAGCACGCGGTGGTGATCCACTCTGACCATGCTATCTCTGTGCAGGCACTAAATGCCAAGCCCGACACAGCGGAGCTGACACTGCTGCGGCCCATCCAGGCCCTGGGCACCGAGTACTTTGTGCTCACACCCCCCGGCACCTCAGCCAGGAATGTCAAGGAGTTTGCCGTGGTGGCCGGTGCCACAGGTGCCTCGGTCAGTGTCACGCTGAAGGGGTCAGTGACATTCAATGGCAAGTTCTATCCAGCTGGCGATGTCCTAAGTGTGACTCTAGAGCCCTACAATGTGGCCCAGCTACAGAGCTCACTGGATCTCTCGGGGTCAAAGGTCACAGCTAGTAGCCCCGTGGCTGTCCTCTCTGGCCACAGCTGTGCCCAGAAACATACGACCTGTAACCATGTGGTCGAGCAGCTGCTACCCACATCTGCCTGGGGCACCCACTATGTAGTACCCACGCTGGCCTCCCAGTCCCGCTATGATTTGGCCTTCGTCGTGGCCAGCCAGACCACAAAGCTGACCTATAACCATGGGGGTATCACTGGCTCCCGTGGGCTCCAGGCAGGTGATGTGGTAGAGTTTGAGGTTCTGCCATCCCGGCCACTCTACCTGTCTGCAAATGTGGGCATCCAGGTCCTGCTGTTTGGCACAGGTGCCATAAGGAATGAAGTGACTTATGACCCCTACCTGGTCCTGATCCCAGATGTGGCGGCCTACTGCCCTGCCTATGTGGTCAAGAGTGTACCAGGCTCTGAGGGCGTGGCTCTGGTGGTGGCACAGACAAAGGCTATCAGTGGGCTGACCATAGATGGGCATGCAGTGGGGGCCAAGCTCACCTGGGCGGCTGTGCCAGGCAGTGAGTTCTCGTATGCTGAAGTGGAGCTCGGCACGGCTGACACGATCCACACGGCCGAGGCCACCACCAATTTCGGGCTGCTCACCTTCGGGCTGGCCAAAGCCACAGGCTACGCAACAGCAGCTGATTGCGGTCGGAGTGAGTGATGGGAAATATCCCCTGGTCCTGTCCACCTGGTGACCGTTTTCCACCCACCTGCTCCTCTGTGGCTTTCGGGATCCTGGTTGTCCTCCCCTCACTTCCCTTCTCCGCAACATCCTTCCATTTTCTGTCCTTAAAAAAATCCCTTAGCTCAGCGGGGTGCGGTGGCTCAGGCCTATAATCCCAGCACTTTGGGAGGCCGAGGCGGG